TATAATGAAATTAATAAAATAAAATGAAAATGAACTTGGTCAAAATTAAAAATTTTGGGGCCGGCCCGGTGGTGCACGGTTACAGTGTGCCGCTTGGGAGCGCGGCGGCACTCCCGCTGAGGGTTCAGATCCCACATACAGACTGGCCGCTCACTGGCTGAGCGAGGGGCGGGCGCAACACCGAGGGTTGCGATTCCGTTGCCAGTCCCGGTCCGGTACGGGCGCGACACTGAGGGTTGCGATCCGTTGCCGGTCACGAAAAAAGGAAAAAAAAATTAAAAATTTTGGTGCTTCAAAGGACACAATCAAGAAAGTGAAAATGGCTGGCTAGTTAGCTTAGCTGGTTAGATCCAGGTGTTATAACACCAAGGTTAAGAGTTTGGATCGCCATACTGGCCAGCCAACAGAGAGAGAGAGAAAGGAAGAAAGATAGAAAGTGAAAAGACAACCCATGGAATGGGAGAAAATATTTGCAAATCATGTATCTGATAGAGACTTTTATTCAAGTTATATAAAGAACTCATTTAGAAATTGGCAAAGGATTTGAACAGACTTTTCTCCAAAGAAGGCCTACAAGTGGCCAATAAGCATGTGAAAAGATACTCAATATCATTAGTGACTAGGGAAATGCAAATCAAAACCACAGTGAGATACCACTTCACTCCACTAGGATAACTACTGGCCCTCTACTAGCCAGCCACCAAAAAAAAAAAAAAAAGTCAGATAATAATAAGTGTTGGTTGGGGGGATGTAAAGAACTTAGATTCCTCCTACACTGCTAGTGGGAATGTAAAATGGTATAGCCACTTTGGAAAACAGTCTGGAAGTTCCTCAAAAAGTTAAACAGAATTACCATGTGATCCAGCAATTCTACTCCTAGGTATATATCTAAGAGAAATGAAAACATGTCCACATAAAAATTTGTACATGAGTACAGGAATATTTGTAGCAGTATTATCCATAATAGTTAAAAAGTGGGAACAGCCCAAATGTCCATCCACTGATGAATGGGTAAACAAATTGTGGCATATTGATACAATGGAATATTCTTTTTAAAAAATTTTTTTGGCAATTGGCTGGTATGGGGATTCAAACCCATGACCTTGGGGTTATAAGGCTGTGCTCTAACCAACTGAGCTAGCCCTGGAATATTATAGAATGAAGTACTGACACATGCTACAACATGGATGAACCTTGAAAATACCATGCTAAGTGAAAGAAGCCAGTCAAAAAAGGCCACATTTTGTATGATTCCATTTATGTGAAATGTCCAGAATAGGCAAATCCATAGAGACAGAAAGCAGATTGGTAGTTGCTAGGGGATGGAGGAGAGGAGAATGGGGAGCAATTGATGGGTTTAAGGTTTCTTTTTGGGGTGATGAAAATATACTGGAATTAGATAGTGGTGATGGTTGCACAACTCTGAATATACTAAAAAAACATTGAATTTTATCCTTTAAAAGGGTGAATTTTATGGCATGTTAATTCTGTCTCAAAGCTGTTATTTAAAAAGCGTTATGAAAATGTATAAACATGGTAACAATAAAAATGTATCAGTAGCAAACAAACAGGAGAAAGGGCATATATTCCCACACTACAGTCTTCAAAGGGTGAGAGGGCGTTAACAGGAAAAAATCAGATGTTTTGAACATCTTGAGAAGTAGTTGGAAGTTTCTGGTTCTCACTCAGGAAAACATTCCCTTTTAATTTGCAGTGTTGTCACCTCCTCTCATTTTGTAGGGTTAAAGAATTACTGGTAAGAATTCCATCCCTCTGGAAAAGCTAAGTATATGCTGGTTTGGCAGAGAGCCTTTTGCATA